TGAAACACATCTGCATATTCATGTGGGTGGCTATCAAAAGGACACACATACGCGCGAGCGCACACACACACACATAAGCAATGCAGGCACACACACTTACACAATCAGTCACATACACACATGCACACAACTTCATAATCACATGTTTGAGTTACTGTCAGGAGCAGAATGTTTACCTGTAATGAATCTGATTGTTTCTCAAAACACTGGATGCCTTCAGACCAGTGGCGGTCGGTGCCGTTTAAGATGCAGGAGGATATTAAATGTTTTTATGAGCATGGCCTTATTTCTATTACAGCATATTGGATGACTGTCATTCATATTCCATTCACCCAGCTCAATGTAACATCGATAGGTTTAGGCTACTACATTATACAAAAATGTTCCCTGTACCCATCATGATGTTGCTACAACCTAGCCTATGAATGAAAGTTTACAACGTAGGTGCACAGGTTTTGAGTAATCAAGGTGACAGACAGTGGCACATTCAATATCACCTTGCACACTCTTGCCTGCATCTAGCTGATCTAGGGTGTAATCATTAGTCCAACAGCTGCAAATGTGAGTTTCTATTGGAAAAATTCAGTTATGTTTATCCCTGTTTCGTTCCGTTTAAGAAACTTGTTTCAACAGAATTGACGGACTGAATACACCCCTGATCACACGCAAAGACAGTTCACTTTCATAGCAGCCACATAAAAACAGCATGATCACTTTGCTTGTTGTATATATAATTCCTTCTTGCATCTATCTACGCACTCTCCTCTCATCTTTTCCCTTCCCTTGTGGACTTCAGTTCACAACACATCAGCTGTCTGTGACCAGGCAAAAAACCTTTCCAAGCCAAACCTTCATATCATGACCACTAACCGCTACACAGAGCCTACATCGTTGTCACGTCATAGTCAACATAGCTACTAGAACTAACACATTAGTAAACCTGCTACAATCATGCAGTACAGTGTACAGTCAGAAAGCAGTTAAGCAGTTACACCGGTGGGCCCCAGTGGCAATAAATTAATCAAACCAAAAGCTTACCTTGACTTGGAAGAGTTCCAGTATCGGATAGCCATAGCCAGCTAGCTAACACAGCATCCCTCTCTGTTTGAGCCGGGTGTTTGAGTAGGCTAAACTAGCTAGCTTTATTCGCTAGCTACGTGAAAGTAAAAATACATTTTAAAAATACAACCAAATATTGCTATCTCTCCTTCTCTCTCGCGCACGCGCTTCTCCTTAATTTTGGAATACATTAATTTTTTCAAAACTGTTCAACTATTGTCTATCTCTCTCTGAGTCAACTACTCACCGCATTTTATGCACTGCAGTGCTAGCTAGCTGTAGCGTATGCTTTCAGTACTAGATTCATTCTCTGATCTTTTGATTGGGTGGACAACATGTCAGTTCATGCTGCAAGAGCTCTGATAGGCTGGAGGACGTCCTCCGGAAGTTGTTATAATTACTGTGTAAGTCTATGAAAGGGGGTGAGAACCATGAGCCTCGTAAGTGTTGTATTGAAGTCAATGTACCCAGAGGAGGACAGAAGCTAGCTGTCCTCCAGCTACACCATGGTGCTACCCTACCGAGTGCTGTTGAGGCTACTGTAGACCTTCAATGCAAAACAGTGTTTTTTAATCAATTATTTGGTGACGTGAATATATTTACTATAGTTTTACCTAAAAATTATAACTTTTTTTATCTTTCAATATTTTTATTTTTATTAAATTCACTGAGGAGGATGATCCTCCCCTTCCTCCGCTGAGGAGCCTTCACTGCTTCAGATGTGTATTTGTGTGTCTGTGTGTGTGTGTGTGTGTGTGTGTGTGTGTGTGTGTGTGTGTGTGTGTGTGTGCGTGCGAAGACATTATTTTTCTACTTTTTCATTGTTTTTTTCTTTCATCCTCTCAGTTCTCCTTCAAAACTGTGATGAACATGTGAAAGTGATTTGAGTGACAGCTGTTTGAAGGGGAGTGTACAAAGTGGATGTGTGTATGTATGTGCAGCCAGGTCGTTCAAGAATGATGTAGAAATTGGACGTCTATCCATGTCCTGAGGACATCAAGAAATGCCTTCAAACCGGCCACTAGGGGCAACAGTGAGCGCTATTACCATCAAGTAGTCTTGGTTTTTGCTAGGGCGTTGTGGATGGGCGTAATCCCATGACTTTGGATCAGAAGGTTACGTGTTTGATCCCAGTCGTGGAGACTCATTTTATAGTTTTGGTTTTAACCCTATCTCAAACCATAACCCTTCCCTTAACCATTCGGAATGAGAGCCTAAACTTAACCCTTAACACTTTGAAATTTGACGTTTGGAGCAACGTCAAAATTGGACATTTGGAGAACCTGGATGAACGTTTAATTTTGCAGTGAGACTGTGAGAGTTTGTTGTGTACGTGCCACCACATCCTTTGTGTGAGTGATGATAACTGTGTTGACAACTGCTGGCTATTGTCCCTGTAGACACTGGGGCATCTGCTGTTTGCTCTCTGTGTCACCAGTGTCATTCTCGGATCCTCAGTCGTCTCAGTCCCAAACACACGCTCAAGTCATAAAAACAGAATAGAAGCAGAATTAGAATTTTCAGTGTTCTCATTCTAATTCTACATATGCAAGAAGAAAATGTATTCAAGGCGATTTCTCCTTCAGTGTTTATCTTCCCTCTCCCTTTCTCCCATCTCCAGGTGACAGTGTTTATTTTCCCTCTCCCTTTCTCCCATCTCCAGGTGACAGTGTTTAAGGAATAATATACCCATCCAAAGAACAACTGATAATACTAGCCAATAAAACGAAATACAACAAACAGTGTGTAGTGCTTGGAAAGTGCAACACTAACGTTTCAGTAAAACCCCCAAGTAAAGACAATTTCAGATAGGCCTAAACCATAATTAAATCCTCCCATCCAGAGGTAACAGACTGAGAAAGGGAGAGAGCGAGAGAGAGAAATAGAGAGAGACGGAGAGAGAGAAATAGAGAGACGGAGAGAGAGAGAAATAGAAAGACGGATAGAGAGAGAAATAGAGACGGAGAGAGAGAGAGAAATAGAGAGAGAGAGAGAAAGAGAGAGATGGGGAGAGAGAGAAATAGAGAGAGAGAGAGAGAGAGAGGGGGCTCCCTGAGGATAAGCATCTCAAACCTTCTAGTTGGCGTTTCTGACTTTCACTCCGACGAACGAACAACCATTTTCTTTTAAAAGCGTTTTTCTGCTTATTTGCAAAAAGTGGGTGGAAATTGGATTTTGTGCAAACATGAGAAACAGTGAGAGGGTAACAAAGGAATTAGAGCCAGTAAGCAGATAGTTATGAAGCCCCATGGGGGTGAGGGGTGTGCAGGGTGGGGCAGTCTTTTGAAGAGAGAGACAGTGGGTTGACTCGAGTGGAGAGAGAGAATATGTGTCTGTATGTATATGTGTGTGCGTGTGCAAAATCATGCGTTCTATGTGTGTGTGTGTGTGTGTAGAGGGTTTGGGGACTCTCACAGTGAGGCTGTGTGATTTATTTCAGAATACTAATGTCTCTTTGATCTCCCTCTGCTAAAACAACCCCCTTCTGGGATCACACACTCACATCATTGTTGTGTCCCTCTCAACTCACTGCTAAGCAGGCCACATTTATACACACACTCGCAGGGGACGCAAGCAAGCACGCGTGCACACACTCACTCCAGGGTGTCTAATCTACTTTAACTACCATCAAATCCGTAGAGATCCAATTACAAAGATAGAGGGATATTTGATTTTCTGTGTGCATCCTAAAAGACTAATAAAATGTTAATGTAAAGATGAAATTATTTGATACAATACAAAATGTCCTTTCATTTTTATAATTGCTCTTTGTTGTATAAATCTGTTTTAAATTGGGTCCTGTAATTCAAAGTAAGTGGTTCACTGTATCAGAGTGCTATTCCACTGGTCCTTAAATTAGGTGTGTGGGTTGTTGTCTGTCATGTTACTACATTTACATTTTAGTCATTTAGCAGACACTCTTACCCAGAGCGACTTACAGTTAGTGAGTGCATACATTTTTATTTTATTTTTCATACTGGTCCCCTGTGGGAATCGAACCCACAACCCTAGCGTTGCAAGCGCCATGCTCTACCAACTGAGCTACACCTAAAGAAACAAAACATGCATGCTCTACTTTTGCTGGGTTAGGCCACACGTTTATTATCATGTACATATTTTATTGGTGTATTCTCTCTCTCACACACACACACACACACACACCTTGGTTAGGTAGATACCCTGTAAATCTCCAGGAGGGTTGGTGACCAGTAAAACTCGTCCTTTCAGCCATCAGTAAAACTCGTCCTTTCAGAGAGAGAGACTAGTGCAGGCTGACATTAGGTCCGCCTCTGGCGTTTCCTATGATGATGGCGCCATCTCATGGAGGAAAACTCTCACACACTCGTTTCCTACTACTTGAAATGCAGCGGCTCTGTCACTAGTCTAGTTGAGTGCATTTAAAACCAGGCAATTTGTGAAATGTATATTCCAGGTTATATGTGTTTTACTTATTTTACTTTTACCACTTAATTGTGTAGATTTTTTTACTCCAATGTTGTTAAGGAAAAGCATTGTCAGAAGCGGGATTCGAACCCGCGCCTCCATTCAGAGACCAGAATACCCCTTTTTCCAGGAAGGATTTACACCTTGAGTCTGGCGCCTTAGACCGCTCGGCCATCCTGACAACTTCACATATACCAGCGTTTTATATATTTTTGACTATTCTGCAACTCCAAAATCTGAAACGTAAGTCATTACTTATAATGTGTGGCCTAGGCCTAAAGTTATAGATACATATTTCAATGTTCTAATAAATCATTTCGATTATTTTACCCTTATTGTCGTCATCACCCGTTATAATAAATAATATTTACACAGTTTCAGGACAGACAAGACGGCAGCTGAAGTCAAGCAATTCCCTTACTGCGCTTCAAGACAAACGCGTAAACTTGTTTTAAGATGTAGCTCTTCTTTTTGTTGGTATTTCTTTTCATTTTTAAATGGTACACGAAGAGTTGAGCGCTCGTCTGAACGATGGCGGGTATAAGAACTGCCTCAAAGCGGGGTACTGCCTCAAACTGCGGGACGGGTTGCACTCTTTGACCGATACTGAGATGAGATCATTCCATGGTAATCTAGTCACAAGGAACACGGGTCTGCGGCGGCGGTGTCAGAGTGGGTGCAGGTGCAGAGTGGGAGCAGGGTGCAATGATATGTATAAACCCTGGATGACTGACAGGGGTCGCTGTATTGAAGCCTCCGCGCAGCCGGTAATCCTCAATCATAAAAAATATTTTGGAAGCTATAGAAATGCATTTATTAATGGCTACATTCGTTTTTGACAACTTTATTCTATTACAGACACTTTAATGCATACTTTAAAATTATATTATGTGAGCTAAACATAAAAATGTAAAATTAAGAAAATATATAAAGACATTTTCCTTAAAGTATTTGTTTAGAGAGTACTAATATTACTGTCCCCACTACAAAGGAGGAGGAGCATTTCTGTCTTTAATAAAGCCCTTTTGTGGGGAAAAACTCATTCTGATTGGCACCCATGCGCAGGCATGTGAAATCCATATATTAACATTTACATTTACATTTACGTCATTTAGCAGACGCTCTTATCCAGAGCGACTTACAAATTGGTGCATTCACCTTATAGGCCTGATGAATGTAATTGTAACTCAGTAAAGTCTTTGAAATTGTTGCATGTTGCGTTTATATTTTTGTTCAGTATATATTGACGGAGTGCCTTTGATTTGACATCCTGCAATTGCGCAGTTCAGCGCAAGATGACAGTTAGACCCGATGACATATTTCTGCACATGAGCTTAGCTAGCCAACGTCGCCATGACATTACCTACAAGTGTTATCGGGGATTTCAAGTTGGAAAAGCAGTTTTTGCCTATCTTCATACTGTACTGTCTTTGGTGTAATCAATGGGCAAGTTCGCTTTGCATTACCTGGTGCTCTGGGAGGGTGGAGATTCCATTTATTCCATTCCAGCCTATACAATGAGCCCGTCCTCCTATAGCTCCTCCCACCAGCCACCTCTGCAGCCTCCTCCTCTGAGGGGTGGCAGGTAGCCTAGCGGTTAAGAGCGTTGGGCCAGTAACCAAAAGGTTGATGGTTTGAATGCCCAAGCCGGCAAATTGGTAAAATCGTATTTTCTGCCCTTGAGCAAGGCAGTTAACCCCCAACAACAACTGTTCCCTGGGCACTGATGACCTGGATGTCGATTAAGGCAGCCCCCCGCACCTCTCTGATTCAGAGGGGTTGGGTTAAATGTGGAAGACACATTTCGGTTGAAAGCATTCAGTTGTGCAACTGACTAGGTATCCCCCTTTCCCTTCCCTTCCCAATGGAATGGTCTAAAATGAGCAAACTCCGCCCAGCCTGGGCACTGGGCGATGCAAAACATACTCGCCCATTAGTCCAAACAGTTGCATCGAAAACAAGAGTTTCTATTGGACAAATTCAGATAGGTCACATTATGTTTTCTCTTGTGTTCCACAGCTGTACTCTAGGTTGTTGGGTGTGTGCAGTGTGGAGGACAGAGATCCTGAGGCACCAAACACACCCCAGTGGGACAGTGAACTGGGGGAACTGCAGACCCCCACTCTGGAACCAGGACCACTGGGAACTGGCCAAGGTAGTGTGCGTGTTATTATTTGTTCTAAAACATTACTGATTTATTGGGTTTGTTATAAAAATTGTACACACACCTTACTTTCATCTGTCATATAAGATCATTGACTACTTCTCTCCCCCTCTCCTTCTTTCTTCCTGTGTCTCCCTTTCTCCCTCAGGCCTACATGCCGCGGGGTCAGGCTGGGTTTAAGGGGGCGGAGCTGCTCCACCTCCTCAACTACTGCTCCCACTTCAACTACTTAGACTAGCGCTGTATTCGAGAGGTAACACACACACACACGCTCTATCTCTCACACACACTCTCATACACACACTCACTGTTTGACTGTATATGGGTTATGAATGTGTACGTCTCTCCTTTCAGGTTATCAGATGTAGGAACGACCTGATGCACTCCTGTGAGATGCAAGTGTGTGACCAGTAGATGAGGTGCTACCAGGTCAGCATACAGCAGCTCCTACGGCACTTCACACACCTGCCAGAGTTGGCAGCAACCGGACAACAGAGACAAGAGGTGTGTGTGTGTGTGTTATATCAGCTTTCAGATCTGTGTGTTGTATTTAGGGTTGGGCGGTATCCAGATTTTCATATCATCATACCGTCCTTCTCTCATCCCGGGATTTACGATATTACCAGCTTAATACACAAGGCGGCGCCAAAAAACACAAAAAAGCCCATCGGCGTCTATTACCAGAATGCTAACAAAATTAGTACAAGTAATAGAGAATTTCCATGGAGGCTGCTAGCTAATGCTAATAAGCACAAAAGAAAATAAACAAATTGCAAAGAAAGGCAATCCAGCTCATAAAGTTATACATACAGTGGGGAGAACAAGTATTTGATACACTGCCGATTTTGCAGTTTTTCCTACTTACAAAGCATGTAGAGGTCTGTAATTTTTATCATAGGTACACTTCAACTGTGAGAGACGGAATCTAAAACAAAAATCCAGAAAATCACATTGTATGATTTTTAAGTAATTAATTTGCATTTTATTGCATGACATAAGGATTTGATACATCAGAAAAGCAGAACTTAATATTTGGTACAGAAACCTTTGTTTGCAATTACAGAGATCATACGTTTCCTGTAGGTCTTGACCAGGTTTGCACACAATGCAGCAGGGATTTTGGCCCACTCCTCCATACAGACCTTCTCCATATCCTTCAGGTTTCGGGGCTGTCGCTGGGCAATACGGACTTTCAGCTCCCTCCAAAGATTTTCTATTGGGTTCAGGTCTGGAGACTGGCTAGGCCACTCCAGGACCTTGAGATGCTTCTTACGGAGCCACTCCTTAGTTGCCCTGGCTGTATGTTTCGGGTCGTTGTCATGCTGGAAGACCCAGCCACGACCCATCTTCAATGCTCTTACTGAGGGAAGGAGGTTGTTGGCCAAGATCTCGCGATATATGGCCCCATCCATCCTCCCCTCAATACGGTGCAGTCGTCCTGTCCCCTTTGCAGAAAAGCATCCCCAAAGAATGATGTTTCCACCTCCATGCTTCACGGTTGGGATGGTGTTCTTGGGGTTGTACTCATCCTTCTTCTTCCTCCAAACACGGCGAGTGGAGTTTAGACCAAAAAGCTCTATTTTTGTCTCATCAGACCACATGACCTTCTCCCATTCCTCCTCTGGATCATCCAGATGGTCATTGGCAAACTTCAGACGGGCCTGGACATGCGCTGGCTTGAGCAGGGGGACCTTGCGTGTGCTGCAGGATTTTAATCCATGACGGCGTAGTGTGTTACTAATGGTTTTCTTTGAGACTGTGGTCCCAGCTCTCTTCAGGTCGTTGACCAGGTCCTGCCGTGTAGTTCTGGGCTGATCCCTCACCTTCCTCATGATCATTGATGCCCCACGAGGTGAGATCTTGCATGGAGCCCCAGACCGAGGTGATTGACCGTCATCTTGAACTTCTTCCATTTTTTAATAATTGCGCCAACAGTTGTTGCCTTCTCACCAAGCTGCTTGCCTATTGTCCTGTAGCCCATCCCAGCTTTGTGCAGGTCTACAATTTTATCCCTGATGTCCTTACACAGCTCTCTGGTCTTGGCCATTGTGGAGAGGTTGGAGTCTGTTAGATTGAGTGTGTGGACAGGTGTCTTTTATACAGGTAACAAGTTCAAACAGGTGCAGTTAATACAGGTAATGAGTGGAGAACAGGAGGGCTTCTTAAAGAAAAACTAACAGGTCTGTGAGAGCCGGAATTCTTACTTGGTAGGTGATCAAATACTTATGTCATGCAATAAAATGCAAATTAGTTACTTAAAAATCATACAATGTGATTTTCTGGATTTTTGTTTTAGATTCCGTCTCTCACAGTTGAAGTGTACCTATGATAAAAATTAAAATCGGCAGTGTATCAAATACTTGTTCTCCCCACTGTATATAGGTATAAGCTACCAAATGTCATTTTGGATGAGTTTGGACATTTACAAGCGAATGTGAACGAGAGACATTGTGCAAATGAACAGAGTTTTGACGTATGCTTGTCTAAAGAAAGAACAATACTGGCTCTGGAGCAGCATGTGTACACGCTGTGTCTGTGTGGAGTCTGGAGTCGCTAGGGCAACGGGCCTGCCTGCTCTGAGAAGAGGGGGGAGGAGCAGACGGCCTAGAAAGGAGAAGAGAAAAAACGCAAGGAAATCAAGATAGCAGTGCCAGCTGTCCAGATAACTCATCCAAAGGGCTTTGACTTCTCAAACACAGCAGAAAGCTAATACAATATGATGCCCCGTGTAGTGTATTAAAAGATTATGACTTTTTTAATGGGTTTAAGTGGAACCTTTGAGGATGTTTATTTTAGTATCAAGAGGGAATGTTTTAGTGTAACGCCACATACAACAGACAGGAAGTGTGTGTTGTAGACAGGGGATTGGACAGTAGAGGGAGCCACCCACATCTTGGGAAGATTATATATACTGGGTAAAAAGCGAAGAAGAGGTTAGAGCGGCCATTGCAATTCGGGGGATGCCGTTCTCCGGGTGATCTTGACACCTGTAACTCATGCTGAAAGCTTGTGATATGAATAAACTTATGATCAAGGTTCAGTATGAGCGGACTCCTTTGTTTATCAGCAATAATTGCCAGCATTTACTCGATACTACACCCGTCATCTTATTAATTCAGTCCACTTACTTATATAACTAGAAAGTTAAACTTAGGGGTCGTGCTAATGCAGAATTCTGCATTTTTTCACGCAGGAAAAAAATATACAACGCATAAGAAATATCTTGCTGCGTTTTCTAAACACAGATTTACAATTCTTCCTATTTTAATTTCTGCTCGGCATCAGACTCATTTTGTTCTTCAGTTGCACTTCTCCACTTGGATGAGAATTCACGAACGGGCATTCTATCAGCAGGCAGTACTCTGACTGATGTGTAGCTACTTATCTCCGGTAACATGCAAGAATAACTTTAAGCAAAAAATTAGGAAATTTAGCTGGCTACATTCTTTCTATGATGAACATTAGAAATATGATGGCCATGCATCGTTTTTGCAAAAAAAGACCTAGCTTTTTCATTGTAAGCTCATTTACTTTGCCAACCAAATAGCATTGTGATAGATAGATATTGTAGGTGTCCTGGAGGGCAGGCAGTGTGCACCCAATGGTGCATTTTGCTGAGCGCATCACCTTCTGTAGCACCTTGCGGTCCACGGCGGTGGAGTTGCCATACCAGGCAGTGATGCAGCCTGACAGTATGCTCTCGATGGTGCTTCTGTAGAACACTGTAAGGGCCCTCTGGGACAGGCCAAATTTCTTCAGCATCCTGAGGTTGAAGAGTCACTGACATGCCTTCTTCACCACAGTGTCCGTCTGGTTTGAACATTTCAGCTTCTCGGTGTATGTATGCAAATGTTTATAAAAAACCTTTTTATATTGACATTGGAGCCTTGAGAACCTCGGAAATATACTATTTAAACATTCTACACCCTTTATATAGCCATTCAACCCCTATACCCATTATTCGCATAATGGATATAACCGCACCTCTATTGCCATGGTCTTCGGCACAGCATATCTCTGATAAGACAATTATGCACTGAATTCTCACTGCCTATCCAAATAGAGCAACTGTGCAATGATTTGTCTTTCACCTTCAGAAAATACATCCCTCTGTTAAGTAACCCACAGAACCCAAGCAGGTAAACGCAACATGCCGCATGATGCAGTGGTAGCCTCCAGAAATAATGCACGTAAGGTAATAAACATAATAGCATGGTAGGCTATATATACATTATATAAACTATGATGATATACACATAGGCATATATGTATTTTAATCTATAGCTACACCTAGCCTATTATAGGCCTATAATAAATTCCTCTATAAGAAGATGCGGTTATTATCGCATATAGCCCTATATTGCGTAGCTTATTTGAAGGTCAATCAACAATATAATAAGCTATAACCTAATAAGTTGTTCCCTGTTACAAATGGTAACAGGAGCCCTGTGCAGCATAAATAGTGTAACATTGTATCAGCCCCTTCAAAACGCCCTAATTCTTCATGACACCCTTCAAAACGCCCTAATTCTTCATGACACCCTTCAAAATGCCCTAATTCTTCATGACACCCCTCACGCACGTCCACTGATGTCGGAATTTGCCTACATATTCAATCTAAGTATTTGCTTTTCAAATGCAATATTCCCATCACTTTTGATGATTGTTTTCTCATTACTCACAATAAAATCACAAGGCCTACTAAAGTTGTTTAGACCAATCCACTGCTCATAACCTACAGTATATCAATCAGTATTGTGCCAGGTGCCTATTTTAGTAGGCTATAGTTTGTGAACTGTATACTGTAAAATTCTATATATTTATATATCAATTGACATCAATTAATTTAGGTATAACAACTATCAAATCATATGCTGCTGTAAATAGGCATACGTTATTGTCCTTCATCAGCCAGTAAGATTCAATAGGACACATGGAGAGAGCCCCTATGTCTTAGCATTTGATATTATGGTGTAGGGTACAATGCACTGCTGAAATATATGGGTTGGGCAACAGTACATTCTACTCAATATCAGGTTCTCATTGATACACCGTTAACTGATTTAAAGTCAAACATAAAAAACGAGTGATAGGCTACTGTTAGATTTGGCAAGTGACATTTTAGAAAGGTGATGTTGTACTTACAATGTTGCAAGGGGCAGC